AGGTTCTCAGATGCAGCTTCAAAAACAGTCCAATCAGTGGAGTCAAAACAGTCCTGCAGTTCCTGCTTTGCTGCGTTAGTCCACTTCTTCACAGTTTTGACTACAGGCTTGGCACGTTTGAGTTTTTACCTATAAACTGCAATAAGATGGACCACGCAGTGATCAGAATGTCCCAAAGCTGCCCGGGGCACAGAGGCATCTTTTAGAGTGGTGTAACATACACACATGCACTAGGGAGCATGCAAACCCTTAAGATTAACTTAAATTCTAAAGTCATCTAGCCAGCTCTGCCACTTTTGCTGAAATCACATAATACTTTGGTTTCAGAATTCTGTTTCCAGTGGTTTGGATTATCTTGTTGCTTGAAATTTCCACAGCAACGTGAAGAAGCCTGCTTGTTTGCAAGTCATTGTCCTTCAGGTGTATTTACAGCATGTGTTCTTTGTTGCATATACTCACTGGGATTGATAAGAACACAGAGCAGACAAGCGGGGCACATTTCTTGGAGCATTACATCCCATCTGTTAAAACAAGAGATTGCCAAAAGAAATAAATGTAAACTTTACTGATCAGTATGTGAAATTACTATCCAAGCCCCCTAATTCTGAAGCTAAACCTTCCCTCTATCCACTTTCACTTCCAGTTTTTTTTTTTATGGCTCCAAATCACACTTATATTGTATTATACTTTATATTGTAAGGTAAAGGTGCTACAATAATAGGAAACCCCAAAAATCAGATGACCACCTATGAGCAAGCACTTGACAAACAGTGGAAAGGAAAAAAACTCTTTTAACAGGTCATAGCGCAGGGGTGGGCTACTCCAGGCCTCGAGGGCTGGTGTCTTGCAGGTTTTAGATATTACCCTGGGTCAACACACCTGAATCACATGATTAGTTCGTTACCAAGCCTCTGGAGTTCTCCAGAGGCTTGTTGAGGAGGTAATTTAGCCATTTGAGTCAGCTGTGTTGGCTCAAGGACACATCTAAAACCTGCAGGACACTGGCCCTCAAGGCCTGGAGTTGCCCACTCCTGTCATAACAGAACCAGGTACAGGAAGGGGCCTCCATCTGTCGTGATTGGGGGTGATGGTTGACATCCATCCATTTTCTTTTGCTTATCCAATTGATGGTCATAGCAGAGATGGAGCTTAATGCATAGTGACAGACAACAGTGCAAACTCATATTCACACCTACAACCAATTTCGAATACCAATTAACCAAAACAATAACAACTCCAATATGGTAGAACCCAACTGAGTTATCGATGGGCTGATATATCCGCCGATATATCTGCAATCTGCTGCCCTGAGCCGCTGTTTCTGTGCTGCCCAGCTGTGGTGACAGTGGCACAACATGTCGCCCACTGATTTTTACCATCTCTGCAGAAACTCTGACATTGGCAAATTATGTATTCGGAGCAGGCGGTGGTGTGTCAACAACAGGTGGACACACTGCAAGACCAGGCAGTGCTGAGCCATTACAGGGGGGGCACGTGATGAAAAGGTTTAGAGACAGAGAGAGCATGTTCTAGGTTCCTTTTTTTAAAAAGGGATTTTCAGAACTGTTGATATATGAAGCAATCCTCATTTAAACATGGGTCAACCCTGTTTTTGGCAATTATGACAGTTTTAATAAAACCTGCAAGTTCCTGCATTTATGCTGAAAAGCAAGGAAAAGTTAAATGATGCTTGTACTCAGTGTTGGGGAGTAACGGAATACATGTACCAGCGTTACGTATTTAAAATACAAAATATGAGTAACTGTATTCTGTTACAGTTACTGTTTAAAAAGATGGTATTCAGAATACAGTTACTTTGTTGAAATAAAGGGATTACACGGCGGTCTTTTCCTGTTTCATATGTTAAGCTGTCCCCTCTCTATTTTTGGTAACTGCATGCTGGTGGAAAACCCAAACAAAACACGCATTAAGAGGCTCTAATGCCTTGGTCTCAATCTCACGGCCCATGTCACCTCTACTTACCCACACTGGCTTTTCTCTGGGATCTTTGCTCCAGTACGACAGTCTCACGTTTCTGTGGAGAGTAAGTCTGACTTTGATTCTGATTTTCAGGGGGATATGGGGATCATAAATCACAGGTTTGACACAAGGTGTATGTTATCACCTTATGGTATTATCATCAGCTGTTTTTATGTCTCTGAAGCGAGTCTGTGTGTTCTTCAAGTTGAATGTCCTCTTTCCTTGCATGAACATTAAAATTAAAAATATAAAATATTTGATCTGACACAACACAGTTCGTAAAAAATGAAAACAGTAAAATATCTCAGTTAGAATATTTTTATTACATTTAGTAGAGAATTTATCAAAACAAAATTAGCAATGTTCAGTGTTATTTACAATAAAAACAGACACACAAGATTAAAAACCAACTTGAAGTACACAGATTAAGGCATTAACATCTCATTTGCTAGTGTCTCCTTTAATGAACCGCACAGAAAGTGATACAAAAATAAATTTAAAACAATTCAAGTTTTTCTATAGAAAGGGCTCTATAACAAAACAATAGAGATAGAAACAGGAATTGAGAACAACATCAATCACAGCACAAAAAATTCACGGATACAAAACATGCAAATCCAATACAGCATAGGTAATACAATGGTAATACAGGTCCCATCTAGAAATAATCATA